CCAAATGAGCGGGCCCAAAATGTCAGTAAGAGTAAGACTGAGAAACCTGGCTAGTGAAGGACCCTAAACTTTGAACGAGGTTGCCTTTAGGGAGGAGGACCGGGACGTGGGTAGGAAGGGGTTTTAACTTGTCTGTGTACTGTTTGTACTATTCAAGCTTTTCTAACTGTGCATGTGTTAGGAAAGCAGAGAAAAGGAAGGCTCCTTTGGGTACTGTCATTAGGTTCTTACCATTTTGTGGGGCATGGATCTCTTTGCAAATCTGAAGGAAGATGGGGATCCTCACCCCCGCCCTCAGAAAAAACCCCAAAAAAACCTTTCACAGAATTGGGACAAACAAGATCACCTGAAACATATCCATGGTTAAAAGAACAAGACAACAGGTTTTAATGGTTCATTTTAAGTTAGGCTTCCACAGCTTCCAGGTTGGCAGTAGTTCTGTTATTGGCAAGTTATTTTGGTGAATGATGGCTTAACATTTAACAGGTTATGTAGTTATATTCAGATGACATTTATAGCTGAGTTTTTTACCAGACGCCTGGTCCTGTGCTCTGCTTTATCTCTAAGGTTAGAGATAAACCTATTTTGTGTATGTGTATGTTATAACGTGACAATTTTTATACACATGCAATTTTATGCTGGCATCACACCTGCTTCTGTAGAAAGTGGGTCATTACTGAAAAAGTCTGGCAGATGTAAAAATCAAATCAGTGCCTTGGGAAAGTCGGTTCGCCCCTGATAAGGTGCCCAGGTCAGTCCCGTTCTATGCAGAAGTTATTCCCAAGGAAGTACCTAGATTTGCAGGCTGAGGCAAGAACAGCCCATGGGAGTAGAAATAAACAGAAAAAATGCTCAACTTTGCTAATCATCAGACAGATGCAGATTAAAACCACAATGAGATATCACTTCAGACCCGTCAGAAGTTCTACCATCAACAAGTCAACAAATGATGTGCTGGTGAGGGTGTGGAGAAAGGGGAACCCTGTTACACTGCTGGTGGGAATGCAGACTGGTGCAACCACTGTGGAAAACAGCATAGAGGTTCCTCAAAAAGTTAAAAATGGAGCTGCCTTTTGACCCAATGATCCCACTTCTAGGAATATATCCTAAGAATCCTGAAACTAATCAGAAAGAATATATGCACCCTTATGTTCATAGTAGCACAGTTTACAATAGCGAAGATCTAGAAGCAGCCCAGGTGCCCATCAGTAGATGAGTGGATGAAAAACCTGTGGGACATTTACACAATGGAATACTATGCAGCTGTAAAGCAGAAGGATCTCGTGCCCTTTGGGACAGTATGGAGGGACCTGGAAAATATTATGCTAAGTAAAATAAGCCTGGCAGAGAAAGATAAACATCACATGATCTCACTTATATGTGGAATCTAAAGAACTTAATAAACTGATGAACAAAATAGATTCAGTGACATGGAAGCATGGATCAGACTGACGAATCTCAGAGGGAAGGTGGGGGTGGGTGGGGAGAGATTAAAGAATTTATATTCATATATGCATAACTTAAGGACACAGACAATTGTGTGGTGAGGGACTGGGGAGGGGGTCAATGAGGTTAGAAAAAGGGACATCTGTAATATTTTGAAAACAAAAAAACAGGGAAGTGGATTATTAGGACAAAGGCAAATTTGGGGCCTTCCAGTTGAAATCCTCCCCACTGGATGTGAGAGTGTCTTCAGGCTTCACAACAGCACTGGGAGGTAGGCGTTGTTAGTCTTTTAAAATAAAGGAAGCTCAAAGAGGTTTTCTGTAATTCGCCCAGGCATACCTTGCTGATAAATTCTAGGGACTGGATTTGGATCCAGGTCTGTTGGACTATACATTTCATCAGGTAGGAGTTTCCCAAACTTGGCATAAGAATCGCCTTAGGCTTTATTAAAATCTGGGTTCTGGCCCCTTCCTAGACCTGCTGCCTCAGTGTGCTGAGGAGAGGCCCAGAAATCTGGCAGTTGGTATGAGCAGGCAGGTTTGAGAAATTCTCTGTCAAACAGTTTCCTTTGCTTTGAGGTCCTGATTCTCAAGGCTTTCCTAACACTAGTGAGGGGTAGGCACTGATACCAAGAATAGTGGAGGCCTGAATGAAGTGTCTGAATGTAGGAGGGGACTGCCTACTGGAAGATGCGGGGAGCACACGGGAATCTAAGTTTCATAGGTAGGCACTGAAAGCCTGACCTGGGACATGTGTGCCTGTGATCTCCGCCCCCTTCAGAATCACCACATTAGGTACTGTGAGGCTCTACGCTACTTTGAGCAGCCCCCAACCTTTGGGGCACCTCTTTTTATTTTTAGTGTTTTGCAATCATCAGTAACACTGCTATAAATAAGGTAATAATTCATTGTGTGTGCTTACATGCTGGCTCCGTGGTACTGTCTCAAAGGTTTAGAGAGATCATTATCTTCAGTTCTCCCAACAACCCTCTCCAGTGGCCATTATTAGCTTCATTTGGCAGATAAGCATTAGGAAGGTAATTGATTTTTTTTAAAGGGGCAGTAAACCCAGTATTTTAAGTCTGAGAAATGATGGTAACCTTTATAGGAAAGGCTTGGATTCGTAATTCCTTGGTTGTGAGCGTCAAAGCCCACAGAGGTCAGGCTGGGAAAGCAGGTGAGTAAAGTAGGCTAGATATTGCTCATTCAGCCCTTTTCCCTGATTCATCAGGTATGTTATGCATCTTTTTTTTTTTTTTAAATATATCTTTATTGATTTCATAGAGAGTAAAGGAGAGGGATAGAGAGATAGAAACATCAATGATGAGAGAGTCATTGATCGGCTGTGTCCTGCATGCCCCCGACTGGGGATCGAGCCTGCAACCCAGGCATGTGCCCTGATCGGCAATCGAACCCCGATGGCCTGGATCCTGGGTCGACGCTCAACCGCTGAGCTACGCCCGGCCGGGCTGTTATGCATCCTTTCCATGTTCCGGCCATACCTCTCTGATGATATGTTTCATAATGACTGTCGTTCTTTTTATCTCATGAAGTATTGTAGCGTAGAATTAATCTTTCTGATATCCCTAAAGGAAAATAGTTAATCATTTTTCTTGAAACATGGCCATTCTCTTGCTCTTGTTTTCCCACTTTTTAAAGTTTAAGAAAAAAATAAAACTCTGTATTGAAGTGTACGAATCATAAATTTACAGCTTGGCGAATTTCCAAGAGTACATATCCATGTAAACAGCACCCAGCTTACAGAACAGTATTACCAGCCTGTTGGAACCCCCGCATGTATAACCACTCACCTCACTTGTTAACACCTGCTTTTGGTTTTGTCTGTTTTTGAACAATGTAAGTAGAATCATGCAGCATGTGTCTGGGTTCTTGTGCACAGCATCATATATGAGATTCCTGTGAATATGCCACATGTTTTTCTACTGTTGGTGGACATTGTTGATAACTAGCTTATTACACCTTGCCGACCGGCTATTTCAAGCCGGGACTCACCTGTGAGGCCGGCTACTTTTCCGCACTTGAATACTCGTGACAGATCAGCAAGGTGTAGCCAGTTTGAGACTCTCAGGAATAATGCTGCTGTGAATGTTTTCTTCATCTTTTTGGAACCTATACTGATTTTTCGTGAGTTTACACCTCATGGAATTTCTGGGTCATGAGGTATGCATATGTTAAGTATAGTAGATATTGATCAACAGTTTTCCAAAGTGATGGTAGTGGTTTTCTCACTTGCAACAGTAACTCAAGTATGTGGACTATATTTCATGATCTTCTTTGTCATAAATATAACAACACCTACCCAGGGTGACACATGGCAACTGAGCTTGACCCCCAATATGGGTAAGATGATAGTGAGAAAATGTGAAATTCATGCTACAGCTGGGCTAAAGGTTGGTAGCCACTGCTCATGTCAGCTGGTTGTTGCCGTGTAGGAATGTAGGCCCAGTGTTGCAGAATCTTAGAGATTTTTTAAAATTTGGGAATATGTACTTTAATGTGGACTGTCTATTTTTGCTGCATAAAAGACACCCAAAACTTTGGCTTAAAACAACACTATTAACTCACCAAGTTGCAGAGTGGCAGTTTGGGCTGGGCATGGATGGGCTCGCTCATAGGTCTGAGGTTAGCTGCTGGTCAGTTTGCTAGTTGTTGGCTGTGTGTGTGTGTGTGTGTGTGTGTATTTGGGGTATGTGTCTCATCATTCAGCAGGTTAGCCTGGTGGGCCTTCTCATAGTTCTGAGAGCAGAAGGAGGCATAGAACAGTAAGTGCAAAGGTCCTGTGGTGACCAGGGCCAGCTGGCTTCATGGCCTGTGCAACCTGTGTTGTCATACAGGGCCCCAGGGTCAGAAGGGGCCTGTGCTTGGTTTAATGCTGTGTTGTCTTGAAATTCTTAATCATTTTTAAACAAGGGGTCCCACATTTTTGTTTTACAGTGGTCTCCACAAATTATATAGCCCATCCTGTTGGTAGGAATGCACTTGGAGTGTTTAGGACCTTTGACATGAGTGATACTCATTTATGTGGAATTAAACCCCTGGGTTTCCAAGGTCCCATCTCCCTCCATCCATGGAAAAGTCCAGTCTTGTCTTCAGCAGAGCTAGAATTAAGGCCACTGCCCAGAGTCGCCACTTCCCAGAGTCTCCACTCCTTATCAGAGCACAGTTCAGTCCAGCATCTGGCTAATTTAGCTTGTGTTCCCAGTTGCAGTCCACTGCACGTGGGGTCTGCATGGCCATGGACCATGGGGCTGTTTAAGGCCGTGTGGTGGGCTGG